ATGTGTGAGAGAGTGGGAACCTCCCAGAACATTGTATTGTGCCACGCCCAACAGAAATAACCCAGGTGGATAGTTCCTCAGTTGCTCATAGAAAATCCCACCTTGGAGTTTACAAAGACTTATGGGTAGAAAAGCCACACTAAGTAATTTACTACACTGCAGGGTCATTAGTTGGAACCTTGAAATTATTCTTCCTTTGCAGTATAATCACTGAATTCATTTAGAAATCAGTAGGATAGGATCTAATCTAGTATCCAGAAAACATTTTCTTCCAGGGTTACTCATTTTAACAATAGTCTATCCACGAATCCTTAACCAGAAATTAGGAGATCTGGATTCTCGTCTTTTTGTGTATTTGTTCACTAATATTTGTTGAGCTCCTACTGTGAACCAGGAATTGAGCTAGAAGATAGAGCAGTCAACAACACAGAGTCCTTACCTACAGGGTACACTGCCTGCTTGGTGAGAGAGACAGGTGAGCAGAATTATAGTACCCTAAGCATGATGAGTTTGGCTGGAATGATGACAGTCATATTCATTGACACTTGTAACCTCCCTGTGCCTCATTTAACACAGAGGTTGGGCAATAAAGGGTCACTGAGTAGTATATGCAGAATCCAGCTCATACCAGGGTTCAGTCATAGAGCAGGGGACCCAGAAATGAGATCAGTAGGCATCAAAGGCTGCTACCTGCTGATGAGTATCACAAGTCACAGCAGAAGCAGCAGGGCTGCTCAGCCACCAGAGCTATGTGACAGGCAAGGCAAGGAGAAACAAAGGACAACAAGGAAGAGCACCTGCATGTCAAGGAAATTGGCCCCTGGCCCATGTAGCTTCTGATTGGTAGTAGTCAGCCTTGTGTCATCAGTAGGTGGCAGCCTCTGGAAGAGATGGTAGCTGTGGGCATTCAACATGAACCCTTAGGAAACAGATGCAGGCCATTAGAACACCTAAAAGCTGTCCTCTAAGTGAGCTCTGGTAGCATAGTGCCTAAGGCATTTTACTGCTAACCAGAAGGCTGGCGGTTCAAACCCACTAGCCGTTCCTTGGAAGGAAGGTTGAGCAATCTACTTCCATAGCGATACTGCCTCAGAAACTCAAGGAGGGGTCACTATGAGTCGGATCTGACTCCACGGAAGTGGTTGCGTTTTGTTGCGTTTTATGTATCCCATTTTTGTTGGTGTAAGATGATGATGTCAAAGGTCAAGTCTCTATGCAAGGAGAAGTTATTTGATAGTGATTATTAAATTTCAGAATGTTCAAAATAATAGAGGAAGACCTTTCTAACTATGATTGTAAGGTGACATAACTAGGTAACTGCTTGCCATTACCCCCCCAGGCAGTCCATGGACAGGAATATAATGACTCTTTTCTGTTGGCCTTGCCACTGCAACCTCCCCAGTACCTCCAGAATGGTCATTCATAGTCTTAACCTAGAAATTATTCTAGGTTAAGAACTTATAAAATACAGAAACCACCCACTACTACTCCTCCTAATGCCAGTTTGAAACACCTGCTCCCATACTCTTCATCCACCAAAAACTGCTACATTTCTGAGGGTTTATATTTTATTTGCTTTAGAAAGACACAGGAGATATTGGAGGATGGGGTCTGAAATGTCTATGTTTAAAGCACATCCTAAGTGCTGTGCAGTACCCACACTTATATACACATACAAACACACAGAGATGGAGACCCTCTCCTAAACCATTGCTAGTAATACTCTTTTCAGAAATGGAAGGGACAGAGATAGGGATGAAGGAGACAGCCTAGTATTCTTTGTGATCATTTTACAGATTGAGAGAGCAGAGCTGAAGAGGTTGGGAGCTGCACAGCAAACAGTGGCATTGCTGAGTTTTCTATCTGTAGCACCCCTTACCCAGCCTCTAGTTCAACTCATTCTAGCCTCTACACCATGATGTACATATATATCAAATACATGTGCTTGTTAAACATTTGGGAAGAGTGGGTATATGACCTCACTCTGCCATAAGGATGTGCACCATTATTTAAGTCACTTGTTAAAATGAATCTTTCTTTTTCATCTCAGGACTTCCTTTGACAAATGCACTAGAAAACTCACTGTTTTACCCACCACCAAGAATTACCTTAAAGTTAAAAATGCCCAGATCAGCCCTGGAAGACTGCAAAAACAGCTCCACGGAGCCTGATCACGGACCCCTCTCAGCTGATAGCGGCTCCCCTGTTGTCAATATAAGGAGCACGCAGGTGCCTCAGGAGTCAATAGAAATGAGAATGAAATCATACCCAAGGCATCCACTAGAGAGCAAGAATAACAGTTTGGTGGCCAGTCTCAGTCATTCTAGGAGTGAAGCAAAGGAGTCCAGTCCTGGTTGGAAAACTCCATCTCCAGAGTTCTATCATGGGCAGTCGGTGGGTAAACCTCTGGTCGTTCAGGCTGCCCTGCATGGACAGTCTTCCATTGGGAACAGGAAAATTCAGCTAAACTCCAGGCTTGCCAAATCCAATGGCCTGGAGGGCAGTTTGTCTGGAGAAATGACCCAAAAAGACAGCTCAAGTGAAATGTCCTGTGGCCAGGAGTCCATGCTCAGCTCCCACTTGGCCAGTCATGGCAGCTTTAGAAAATCCACCATGGAACACTTTAGCAGGTCCTTTAAAGAGGCCACCAATAGGTGTGTGAGGACCACAGAGGACCTCCAATGCTGTGTGAAGCCAACCAAGGTTAACCCCAAGGAGCACCTCTGGGGTAAGCAGCTTCTCAGGCGATCTGCAGGGAAAGCTCCATATCAGGAAAACGATGGGTATTGCCCAGATTTGGAGCTGAGTGATTCGGAAGCAGAAAGCGAAGGGAATAAAGAGAAAGTCAAACTAAGGAGAGACTGCTCAGACAGGGAAAATCCTCCCCGTGACTCCAGAAGGGATTGCCATGGTAAAAACAAGACTCATCTGCTTTCCCACAGTTCAATGCAAAGGTGATTAGAAACTTTCAACGATAACCCAACCTCTGCCTTTGGGGAAAACCCATACACCAAAAGGATTCTAGCATATATGTTAGGAGGAATTGCAGTAAAATTTTCCACAGTGTATTCATTGACTTGCAGTTTTTCAAGTCCAGTTTTCACAAGCACATTGTAGGAATAGCAGATTATCTGGGTTTTTAGGGGGTATTTTTCATTTGGTTTTGGTTTTAGTCAGAGGCTATTGGGAACATTCAGGCCCAGAATATTTATTCACTAAATACTCTGGGGCTGCTTTCCAGTTATATTAGAATATCGGTGGATGAGAATATATATTAAGAGTCCTTGCCTTGTTTGTGGGATTTGCAAGAGACCATGACTATCAGACACTAAATCTACTTATCTTTTGAAGCTACAGCATGTGACTCCTAGAGCTCGTATCTGTAGGAAGTTTCTAACTCCACTGGTATCTGTAAACCTTCTTCAGGGAGAGACCAGGAGACCAGTTATCTCACATACTGTTAAACTCACTACCCCCTTCCTTTGCTTTGCACAAGGTTGGGTTACTTTCACAGTATCTTAACTTACTGAGTCAATACTCTACTAATGCTTATAAATGTCCCGTGCCTGTTCCTAGACTTGCTTGTTGGGGACACACTTGTAACTATTTCACCCAGCTAACAAGCATAAAAGATTAACTTGTGGATAGTGTTTACAAAAGTAGATATTCTACTTCCAAGGAAAATGCTCTGATTCTCTCTTGTTTAGGCGATTGTGAAGGATCCCAGAGCCTTTCCCAAAGTGAGACCATCTCTGGGTTATTTTACCACATCGGGTTTTTGTGTTGTTGTTTTCAAATAAGTTAGACAAAAATAAGTTTGGCTGACAGTTTTGTATACCTGTTTTAATGTTTATATAGTTTTTATTGAGGTATAATTAAGATACTATACACTAAATGCACAGAAGTATTCTTATCTGCTTAATTTTGAAACATTTTTATTGTCAAAAGTTTGAAAGCATGTGTTTAACACATGAATATACTTTAGCTTTGTATCAACCTTGAATCAGAGGCAGTTTCCCAAACAAAAAGGCTGAAGCTGTTTTTTGAAGTTGCTTATACCCTGTTGCTCCCAGAAATCAACCAAGCTTGACAGTATGGGAAGAGATTAAGTGCATTTTAGGGAAATAGAAACATGTCTGCTTCCCAGAATGGGAGAAATGTTACAATTTTAAACATGTGACACTGACTAGAATTCTCAACTCTCTTTTCTTCTTAGCCTTAAATTAATATTCTCTTTCTTCTAGTTTGGGAAAGCATAGAGAGAATTTTCAGACAAAAGTGGCCTGTTTTAGAATTTCCTGTTTCTTACTGGTGAAACAGCCCAGCTGCAGTAGGTACTTGTTAGTAAGGGCAGGGGCTCCTCTCTCAATCAATATGGAAGACCCAGCAGTTTTCCATTCCCCTACCTTTGCTCTTGTAGCCTTGTTAATGGTTTTCTTGCCTTTTTGTTTGCTCTTTTTCTGGGATACTTAAATTTTTCACCTCTCTTTTGGCTCTTCAAATGTTTGAACATCTTCAAAATGTTTCCTTTGTGCCTGTGTCTATATATGAAGATGCCATAGTATGTGTGATAGGTTTCCTGTATTTTGTTTGGATAGAAAAAGCTATGGATCATCCAAAATGAGGGATAGAATATCCTCTATTTGTACACTAGGTTTCTGTGCTTTTTCTTTGAATTCTCCTTGAGTAGATAAATTTGACACCTTAATGGTAATGAAGCTATAGTGGAGCTGTATTGTGAACTAAATGTTAGAGGCCAATGCATACTGCCTTTGTCCTTTCATGCCTTTCCATTCTGAGTGAATGGGCAGAAAAGCAAACATTGAAACAGTGTTTCAGCCAAATTCCATATGTAATGCCATTGGGAGAGTATTGACTAAAATAATTACAGTCAGGGAAATATAGTTGTGATATTTTTACAGAATTTTCCTAGATAAATGAAGGAGCCTTCAGTTGTATGAATTTCAATTGTCCCAAAATGTATTTGCTACATTTTACTGTTGTTTGAAGTATTACCTCTTAACCTTGTTTATTAATTTGTTTTTCATTTTGTCTTATATAGTCCAATTTTCCAGGATAAACTCAGTCTTTTTTTAAATGTCACCTTTTTACCGATACTTTTGCATTAAATTATGAAAACTACTAATTACTGTCAGTTGTGGTATTTTTTTTTTTTATTTTGGCATTTGGGTTTTGGAAAATCTTACATATATTCCTTCTACATTTGAAAAATCTTATTCACGAAACAAAAAAATAGATGGTTGAGGAAAAGAGGAGGAAGAATTGAACATCGTGTCACTTATCAGGGACCAAAGAAAACTCTGGGGACTTGGGTTTTACCCAGAAGTCACAATTTCATCAGGATAATAAGATAAAGACATCAGAATCATCATAAAAATCACCAGGGAAATGAATCCTATTTAAAGTCACAAGCTTCAGAATCTATCAATTAACTATTCTTTATAGTATTCATTCTATTTGAAGTCATGTGAGTATATTGTTTTAGAGGTTGTACAGTATCATGGGGAAACTTTGAGAGCATTATAAACATTTTCATTATATTTGAGAAATGTATTCAACAGTCAGTGGGTAAATCAGTAGTGAAGACAGGTTAAAGGTTAAAGGTGGGGTAGTTTTTCTCAGTCTCTGTTAATGGATGACTGTTTGGATCTTGTAAATTGTTAAGCAAAATGCTAGAGAACTAAAACTACAAATATACCCTGGTATAGCCACAAAAGCTGTTAGGTTTATACCAATGTATTTATTTGCACTGGGATGTGAACCTTTGACTTTGTGTTGAAGAAACTTAAATTCAGAGAATAAATCAGCGGAAGCACAGTCCTGGGATTTTTCCCCTCTCCCAGACCTCACAATCCTAAGGATGCAGGCTGATCCTCAAGAACTGAGGAGAAGTAAATGATAAGGGTAAAAACTTACTTATCACTAAATAACTTTCATGTGGTATGTGATATTTTCAAAAAATGTATAACAATTTTATTAAACTTTCACAACCATAATTCTGCTATTTTCAAGTTTCATAGAAAGCAGCTATTGTGCAGTGATTAAAAAAAAAAAATGAAGGCCAAACCTGAGATCATCACTTCTATTCAGGGAGCTCTGTAACACTCCATTGTCTTGTACTGTTAAAGGATGTTTCTATGAATTTAGTTGATTTTATTTCATGCATTTGAACAAATTGCATGACCTGAAGAGGGAAGAGCATTTGTCCTTGAAATGGGTCTGGAGTGGAGGACAGCCTCAAGCCAAGACTGGTGTCCCCTGCTCTGCCAAGTCACTAATGAGTTCTTTGATCTGTTCCCTTGATTATCTTGATAAACTCAAGTACATCCATCATTTCTCATCTTGTTGAGATGAGCTTGAGTGTGAACTGTTCAGCCTCAAGATCTGGACACCTCAAGCTTTACATTTTCTTCTCCTCCACTTGCCACTCCTCCCCACTGTTGCACCTCCTCGATTGCATTTTCTGTAGCTGAATGCCACTTTATAAACAAGCTGAAAAGATGGAATTGGGCTGATTAAGCTGTACTCATTATAGCAAGAGATCTGAATTTGGGAACCATTTGCAGAACCACCTTCTGTTCAGCATTGCTTTCTAAAGTGTTGCCAAGAAGTAATGAAATTGCATCTATAAATTACACATGGGAATGGGTCTCATTATTTCATAGTCATTTCTCATTATTAAAAACCTTATTCTAAGAATTGTTGATCATTTGAAAATTAATAATCTCATTGAATTGATCACCTCAGCCTCAAAACAGAAAGAAAGAAGAAAACACTTCGGATTAGCCAGTTACCATTTTAGATCATTCAATTGTTGTTGGGTGAATCAAGTCAATTCCAACTCATAGCAACCCCATGTGACAAAGTAGAACTGTCCCATAGGATTTTCTTGGCTGAAATCTTTAAAGAGGCAGATCACCAGGTCTTTCTTCTACAGAGCCACTGGATAGGTTCGAACTGCCAACCTTCCAGTTAGCAGCTGAGCAGTTAATCATTGTGCCACCAGGGCTCCTTATCATTCAGTTACTTAGGGGAAAAAAACATTAAATACTTATTATCCCTGCTTCCAGTAAGCCTGACATATGTACCAAGGTTCTAGCAATAAACTTTTTCTCTTTTTACCCTGCAGTGCAGTGAATTACTTAGTAAAGCCCTTCTATTTAGTTTTCTTTGGTTCATCCATGTTGTTGTTGTTGTTGTTATGTGCTGTCGAGTCGGACCCAACTCATAGCGACCCCTCCTTGGGTTTCTGAGGCGATATCACTACAGAAGTAGATTGCCCAACCTTCCTTCCGAGGAGTGGCTGGTGGGTTTGAATCGCCAGCCTTCCGATTAGCAGTCAAGTGCCTTAGGCACTATGCTACCCACCAAATGACTTGCTGGGACTATGCAAATGTAAGGTGCTTGTGGCCCACCAAGGGGATTAGATAGCTTGCTAATAATGTAAATAAGCTATATGGCACCCTTGTAGGGGTGGAACCAGCAAGTAAGTTCTGTGGAACCCTAACCAGGGAATTGATCAGTTTTGCCATCCCATTAGATTTAAAAGGAGAGGTGAGCAAGGGAGGGTGTAACATAGAAGACAGCTAGAGACAGTGGCACAGCAATAAAAGCCCAAGAGCAGAAACCATAAGCCTGGTGTGAGACAGCTGCTGTGGAGCTTCCTGACTCATGGAGCTAAGAGCTGTAACACTTGGCCAAGAAGATCCCCAGCAGGGCTCAGCAGCAGAGGGTGAAAAGAAGCTGTCCTGATTGAGGAACTGCATCCTGAGTTCCCGTTACTTCCAAGTTGATCCTGATCCCAAGTTGCACCCTCTTCACCAATAAACCACTTAACTGTAGATACAGTTGAAGAGTTCTGGGGGATGCTGCAGTGAATTACTGAATCCAAAGATGGGAGGGAGAGTACTGACAGAAGGGGAGTGGTTGATGTTAGAGATGGAGTGGTACAGCAGTTTAGAAAAGTTGGGCATTAGGGTCATCTTTAAACTGCGTCTCATAGGAACCAGCTTTGTGCTGATCCTTATTAAAGAAATTTTTAATTTATACTCTTTTTAATGTCTTTAGTTGTGATTTAGGTGCAGATTTACAAAGCTGATTCATTGTACTCTCAACAGTTCATACACGTTTGATTTCACAGCCCTGATTACCATCCCCAGCCATAAAAAGCTCTCCCCCGCCCTCCCCTCCCAGTGACTACCCCTTCCTTGTGCTCTTCTTATCTACACATTCCTGTCAGTCCAACTTTTCCTCTGTGTGACTGCTGCCCTTCTGAGGTCTCATGGCTGATTGACCTAAGGAGTGCATCTCCCTGGGGTAGGTGTTCTGCTTGTATGTCTTTCTACTCTTGGGCCAAGAGCCAATCCGTAGAAGT